CTGGATTTTGCTCACACATTCACCAACAAGCAGTTGGAGAGCCAATGGACTTTCCTGAGGTAGTTTCTTAAACACTATGAAATGGGGACTGCAATAGCAATTTAGCCTACCTCACAGGACCCGTGTGAGATAGTAGAAGGAAAAGTCCTTAGAAAAGAGAAAGTGGCGTTATAAAAGATGAAAATGCTATTGTTAGGGGAACTGGATGAGACCGAGAGGTATGTTAGGATGCCCTAATTATAGGCAAGGATGCAGGGGAGATTCAGGGCTGTGGGAGGGAAGGAGTGGAGCAAGTGTGTATATGGATGGGGGTGGGGCAAAGAAAGCATCTTGGAGATTCCCAACTTAGGACCTCACAGCAGCCAGGAGGGTGATGGGTGCCCCCTCCAGCCTTGCACCCCTTCTCCAGGGTGGCTTCTTTCAGTGTCTCCACAGCCTCAGTTACCACATACAGGTTTCCCTACACTCCTGAAGCTTCTTCAGCTTCCTGTGGTAGGTGGGGTGGGGCTGGCTCTGAGTGGGTGGAGCCCTCTTTCCTGACCATATCTGGCTCCCTCAGTTGCAGCCCTGGGCCCACCCTGGTTTCTCTTTACTTCTCCCTCATCCCATCCCCTTAGAAAGAGAGAGAGAGAGTGAGTGTGTGTGTCCATGTCCCAGAGGGACAGGGGCCCTGTGTGTTCTAGTCCCGATTCTTCCCTGACTCCCTGTGTGACCTTGGATAACTCACTGCTCCTCTCTGGACCCTTTTGTAAAACGAGGATCCTCACCAGCTCTGATATCTGTGTGGTTCTGGGTGGGGGCATGCCCCTCAGTGCCCACCCCTCTCAGGTGGCCTGGAATCCTCAGCCTGCCTCCCCATCCCACCCTGGAGCTCACCTCTTCTTAGGTTTTCCAGATCCTTCACAATGCTGAGGTTTTGGTTGTCCAGGGAGTTTTGACATTTGCCCCCATCTGTGACAGAGATACTTGCCGGGAGCCCTGAAAGTGCAATCTTTTCTTGGTTCTACAGGACAGACACACCCTTGTGTTTGTTCCCACACATCCTTTGCAGGAACCTCCCCTAATCGACTCTGCATGATAAATTGCCCCCGATCCCAAAAGTGAGTGAGAATTGAGGGCTGACTTCAGACATTAGTTTTAGTATGAGGCTTAAGTTTGTTTTTTTTAATGTTCTAAAAGAGGAATATAGGAATCATCAGAAGTGCAGAAATGAGTGTTATGACTGGGAGGAGATAAACTGGATTCCAGGGACCTGAGGCAGGCGTGGATGTGGTGGTGGTTGTGGGACATTAAAGGGGGACAGGGAGAGAGGAATGGAGAAGAACCATGATGTGCTGACTCCAACAGCTGGAGACTCCAGAGCCATCTTCATATATCTGAAGGGCTGTTATATTCAAGAGAGATTGTGCTTGCTCCGCACAGCCCCAGTGGCAGATCTTGGACCCACAGGAGGAAGGAACAAGGAAGTAGGCCAGGTAGAATGAGCATTTTCCAACAGTCGTTCTGTATTACTTCTGCCCTACAGGAGGGAAATTTTCATTGCTCCCCGCCCCTGCAAGTGGACACTCTAAGATCTGACCTTTTTGCAGGTAATTCGAAGTCAATGTGATTAATATTATGCATTTTGCTAATGCCCATAGGCCCCTTTGAGGCAGGGAGAATCATTTGTCCACACAGGGCCATTTAGAAGATACTAAAACGGTCTACTGCAATGCGTTTTGAATTCTTATAAATACTTTTAATAATGTGCCTCCCTGCTCTCTGGCTGTTGTTTCTCACTGCTGTTATTCTGACTAGCTGTTATATACTTTTTGCTCCTTCAGATATACTGCTTCTGATCTGTTGCACGCAGGAAACTGTAGTGTCAAAATTATTAGAACTCTATGTAAAATAAAATTTCAAAAAATGCGTAAAATAAATGGGTTGGTGAGTGAATGCTCCTGTGAACAAAGTTTATGAACGTTGGTTGGTGTTTGCTTTAGCCGCACCTTCTGGGCTCACATGGCCCCTGTGTTCACCTCTGTCACCCAGGCTGTCATCACTGATCCACTAACCAAGGATAGGCGCCATGACTTCCTCATCTTTGTATCTGCAGTACCTGGCACATGGTAGTAACTCAATAAATGTTTGTTGAATGAAATAGTGGATTTGTGGTGGCATCCGTTTTGGCAGCTCAGAGGCCTTGCTCTGCATTGTTCTCTGCCTTCCTGGTTTGAGGCAACATTCCTGGTAGGCAGGCAAGGTTGCTGATGACAGAATCCTAGAGAGATGAGGTGACACAGTTTCTAGGTGGATCTCTCCTTAGTCTGATGGGGGAGGCACACCCTTCCCTTGGAATAAGCTGCCTGGGTTGCTTTTGGTTTGGATGTTGATATGCCCTCAGTCTGTAGGAGAGCCCAGCCTTTCACTTGAAATGTCTGCACCTGAGCCAAAGACAGGAAGGGTGGGGGCTGTGCCCCACCCGTTGCTCCTTAACTGCCTCTCTCAGCTTCTGTGTACTCAGTTTGCTCTCTATTCACTTCCTTTTGTAGATAACAAGTCTTTGTAGGTGTCTAAGTCTCTGTGTCTGGGGTATGCTGGGTCTCACCAGGTTCAGAGCTCCCCAAAGAGAAAGGACCCTATTGTTTCCATTAGCCTGAGAGTTCCCTGGGAGTTAGGTTCAAGTCTCACCTCCTCAGACTGGGGACTCCCTGATGCCAGTGTCTGCTTTCCCTGCCGCTCCAGGCTTCTGCTCCATAGGGCAGGAAAAGCTGGTGGTGGAAGGGCTGAGTGAGGGACCACTCCTTTCCTACCACCCCAAACCAAAGCCTGCTAGCTCCATGATGCTGCACATGGATGATAAGCTGGGACCTCCCCCAGGTGTCCTAGGTTCCTGCCTCAGAGCTGGACCAGGCGTGTACCTGGGCTGTCTTTGTACCTGGTGGCTTTATTCCTGGCTCTAGCACATCCCAGTGGGAGAGGGTGATCTGGTGTGGTGTGTACCCCTCTTCCTCTGTACCAGGCAGAAGGGCCAGAAGTGGGCAGCATCAATGAGGCCACCTAGCTGCCTCACCAGGGCCCAGGTAGCATCTTGGAGCACAGGTCCTATGATCCCTGGTCCCTGGCAGAGATAAGGATGTAGGGGTGAAACCAGTGATGCCACCCACTCCTGCCTGCCCAGTGGACAAGCACAACCCAGAGGCCAGGGTGCTGAGGGAAGGGCTTAGGTGTTCAGCGACTGTCGTTCCAGGTGGGAGCCTGTCTGAGTCTGTGGATGCCCTGCTCTGTCCAGTCTCCGCTGATGGGCTGAGTTGAAGCCACAGCTTCTAAGGCCCCCCTCCCACCAAGTTCTGACTCAGGGACCCCAAATGTCTGGGGTGAAGGGATCTCTCCCTGGGGAGAGGAGTCAATGAAGCATCTCCCCTGCTACCTCCCCAGACCCCCATCTTCTGCTCCACTTGTCCCCCTTTTGCCTTTTCTCCTGTCCTAGCTCCAGAAAGGGAAAGGAAGTTGACCTAGAGGGGTCATTTATGATCATTTATTACCCAGGGCTCCAGGACTCCTCCTGATGTGGAATCCAAGCAAGCTTTCCTCCCTGGATCCCCTCCCATCCTGAGCTCACCTCTGGGAATTGGGGTTAGATGTCAGAGGAGGGGAACTGACTCTCTGCAGACCTTAAAGATGCGCATGGTCTCTGCTGCTCAGGATGACAGGGAGTCAAATGAAGGTCCAGGAATGGGCACCGGTGATAGAGACATGGGGCTCCAGCTGTCCGCCACCCTATCTCCCTCACAGGTCTACACAGTCTCTTTCCCAGAACCTAGTGAGACGTGTCCAGCCCGATTCCAGTAGGGGATGGGATAGCAGAGTGGGACAGACTCTGAGAGTGGCAGAGGAGGGACTAATGGAGAGTTTGATAGGGATGGGGCCAGGATTCCAAGGCCCAGTCGAGGGAGTAGCTGGGGTGGACAGCCAAAGCTGCAACCTGAAACTTCTCACACCCCAGTTCTTTCCCCCATCCCCGAGCATCCCTGGAAGTGGGGAAGCCCATGTCTCCCGAGAAAAGAGGATGGGGGGGTGGTCCCAGGTTTTTCTGAGATGAGTCAAGTTGAGGCTTTCTGGATGATATGGAGGCGCTCATCCTTGGAGTGGTGGGAGGAGCCTCAGGGATGGAGAGAGAAAGGGTGAAAGGGAGGCTGGAAAGGAGACAGGAAAGTCAGCAAGATCAGAGGGACCAGGGGAGGTGATAGATTCCTCTTTACCACTCCCCGAGTGGCCTCCATTCTGCCCCAGGCTCTTCCCCGAGCTGGGTGGAACCCTGGTTCAGTGGTTCTTATCTTCAGTTTCTGCTGGGGCTCCCAGAAGCCTCCCCAAAGCACTTGCTTCCTCCATGGAGGCCCCATGAGTGGATCATCCTGTGTGGCCCCCTTTGGTCCCTTGAGCATCCTATTTGGTGATAGGGATATCTCATATGGCCCCCTCCTTCAGCCAGCTTGGTGTCCCTCAACCAGGAAGTCTTTTATTATCTTTTATCACATCTGCTTTCTCCCTGCCCCCTGCTCAGACTCCCCCTGAGAGAAAAGACAGATTGCCCAGAGGGTAACAACTCCCTCTCCCTTTGCTTCCTATGCGCCCTCCAGCAGGCTGGAGACTGCCAGCTGGTCACTGGTGCCTGGACATTGCCCTCCTTCCCTTCTCCCTGTTTGTCCTCCCTCCTGGCCCCCTCCCATTCCCTATCCTTCCATTCCACCATCATTAATTCATAGGACCTGGCGTCCCTAGCAGATAGACTCTGGTGTCAGGAGCTGGGAGGCAGGAGGGGAGGGAAGAGTTGGCATCCAGCCTAGTGGGAGCACCCATCACTAAAGGGGTGTTGATGTGGTGGTGAAGGTCTCCACACCCTCCCCCTCCTCCCTGCCAGGCCACACATGTTCAGTGAAATGAATGATAAGAAAGAGATCAAGGGCATTAATAAAAAGTGACTTTATTGAGTTGTCCAGTGATGTTCTGAGGATGGGAGACTTCCTAGTTCCCCCCACCCCCAGCTCTCCAATGACTCATCCCCAGCATAGACAAGACCACTTTCGTCCCAAGGGAAAGGGTTCAGGTAGCTTTTCAGTGTATAAAAGAGAAAGCAGAGTGATGAGGGAGTCTCTGGAAAAGGAAGAGGGGCCCCAATAGAGGGCACAGGGAGGGGAGCCTGGGGCCAAGAGAGAGGCAAGAAGTGAGGGTGGAGCTTCTCAGTTGAGATGGAGAGAGGAGAGGAGAAGCCCACGGGATCCTTCTCAATCCAGCTGCACCCAACTTTCTGACCTCACCTTCAACCCTTGCCCCCTTTTGCATCCTCTATTCCAGGCCCCAGGTAGGTCTTGCTGCTGCCCAGACATCCAGAGTTGTTCTGCATCTTCTTTGTCTTTGTCCACCACCTTTCAGGTAGGGTCCTCCCTCTTCTGCTCAGAGCCCTCCTCATTCTTGAAGAGTCAGCTCAAACATCCATTCAGTGAAGACTTTGAGACCATGTCTGCCAGGCAGAGGCTTCCTCCTCCATGCTCCCATAGCTGCCTGCTCCTCCCTCTGAACTGGCACACATACCACTACTGTCATTCTCTTTTATGTTGTCCTCCACCACTGTGGACTCAGGAGCTTTAGGTGTCTGAGTCTAGCATAATCCAGACCCAGAGTATGCACCAAACGCAGGCACCAAAAACTCCAGGCACCAAATAGAGAGAGAGAGAGATCAGGTGTTTAGCTGGAGGAGGAAGGGGGTAGAATTTGGAGGATGGGATGGGGCTGCAGAGGAGGCTGAGGGGGTCAGAGGAGAAGAGAGGACATAGGGGTAGGAGTGTGGGGCATGGGGCCAGAGGAGTGGCCCTGGTCATCAGACCACTGTGCTGAGGGTGGAGGAGTCCTCAGAGCGCACGGGCAACACGGGGGCTCGCTTGAGGGGACATCGGGTCTCATCCCGGTTCTGCCACACGTAGTGGACCAGATAAGCCACCACAAGTACCAACCAGCCCCCCATGGTGACCAGCAGGGCCACGTCAGTGCTCCGCCGGGCCCCGCCCCGCCCCGTGCCACACAGTTCTTCCTCCCCTGCCAGTGGCAGGAACTCCTGCCCCACGAGGTCTGGGCGGGCTCCCGGGCCACACACGATGCCTGTCCCAGTGCCCGGTGCCAGCCTCACCTGCCTAAGCACCTCCTGGAGGGCACAGTCGCAGCGCCAAGGGTTGGCGGACAGGTTCACTTGGATCTGCAGCCCCACGAAGGCCTCCACAGGCACTGAGGCCAGCTGGTTGGCAGAGAGGTCGAGGTGGCGCAGCGTCCCAGCCAGGCCCTGGAAAGCGGCCCCTGAGAGGTGGACAAGGACATTATGGGATAGATCCAGCTCCTCCAGAACAGGCAGGTGCTGGAAGGCACCAGCTGGCACTGATGCCAGCCGGTTGGCATCCAAGTAGAGCTTGCGGGTGTCGTTGGGGATGCCTGAGGGCACGGCACTCAGGCCTGCCTGGCTGCAGCGGAAGGTCCGCTCACCGGCTTCCTCTGCCACGTAGCATCCCTGGGGAGGTACCCAGGGGCTGGGCACGGTACTCCCTGTGCCTATCACCAGCAAGAGGGACAGGAGGTGACTGCCTGGTGGGAGCATGGCCACAGATTGGCATAGTCCTGGAGTGGAGTAGGATCTGGGGAAGAAAAAGCCCCATAAAAGAAGAGTGAGTCAAGAGAATTCCATTCCCCTCTGCCAGCTCTCTCTTCCTCAGGTCCCCTGTGGAGTCTCTTTGGACTGGGGTCCCTCCTTTGGGGACTTTTGGGTGATGTTGTTTGCTTCTTCTTTGGGGCTTAGAGCTCCTCATTTGGGCCCTTTGGGTAAAAGGTCCCCTGGGCCCGAGACTCATCTGGGGTCTCTGATTCTGGAGGGCAAACCTCTGAAGTTTCTCAGTCCAAGGCCCTGTTGGTCATTATAGGGGTCTCTAAGTTTCTGCCTCTGCCCATGTATTGATTTCGCTCATTGGAATAAAGTCTTTTTCTGCCAACCTACCTGGGTGGCTGCCAGGTGGGCCGGGTAGACACCAGAGGGCCTGTTTGGCACTAGAGTGAAGGAGATAAGGAGGATGGATCAGCAATAGGACTTTAGGGCATCCAGCTAGGCTAGGTGACTAAGGCCCCACCTCTGTGCCTATCCACCCATTTTCCTGCAGCATCCACCCCTCTGCCTGCCCCAGCTTTGTCCTCTCCGCCCCGCACTTCCTCCTCCATCCTCTCCCTCCTCCTCCCAGCCTCTCACCCCTGTTGGTAGGAGAGCCTTCTCCTGTGCTGCCCTCTCCCCGGAAGTAGCCTCCCTGCTGCTCGGCTCTGGAGACCGGCTTCCTCCTCCAGAAGCCCTGCTTGCTTGTAGCTGCTGGGAGTTGGGGGCTGGGGCCCAAGAGTGTTGGGTTTCCTGGCATGTGACTCCAGGCCCCAGGTGTCGGATACCTGAGCCACGGCCTGGCCAGACGATGCCAAGAGAGGGCAGATCCTGGACCCTGATGAACTCTGCTGTGGGGAGACTAGGCCCCAATTCCATTCCCTGCCTCAGGCTCCCCTCCCAAGGCCTTGACGTTGCCATCTTCCATCCCATCCAGGGCTGAGACCCTGCCTTCCAGAACCTCTGCCCGTCTCCCAGAGCCTGGCTGAGCAAAAGAATCCCTGCTTGGCACGCCTAGCGGGTAGAACTGGGGTGGGCCTGGTCTCACGTCCATTGCCTTCAGCAACCCTTCACCTCCCAGCTCCATCCCTCCTGCATTCTCCATCTCTGCCCGTCTACCAGGCCTTGTGGCACCTTCTTCCATGGTGAGCAAACTTCCCTCAGCCTTTCCTTGGAAAACTTGACCCTCTCTGGAGGACCTCATCTCCTGGCTCCTCACAGGGTGTTCGACTCTCTTGCCTGGCATGGGGCACCATGGTTCAATTTCAGTTTGTTCTCTGCACTGTTGGTAGATGGCCCCTCTAGGAGTTAGAAGGGGTTCTTCAAGGTGTCTGACATTTGATATGGATGCCTACAAGTTTTTCCACTGAGTTTATGTTCTGGATTGGAGCTGACTCCGGTTCTGTCAGTTTACTGGGGCCCTGGGTTCCCAAGTTGGTACTTTTTTTTGAGGGAGATTAGCTCTAAGCTAACATCAGCTGCCAATCCTCCCCTTTTCGCTGAGGAAGATTGGCCCTGAGACAACATCTGTGCCCATCTTCCTCTACTTTATATTTGGGACACCTGCCATAGCATGGCTTGATAAGTGGTGCACAGGTCTCTGTCTGGGATCTGAACCAGCAAACCCCGGGCTGCTGAAGCAGAGCCTGTGAACTTAACCCTTATGCTACCGGCCGGCCTGCCAAATTGGTACTTTTAATTCTCCCTCTTGCCCGGGAGCCAAGAAAGCCTTGGACGACATATTCCCCAGGGCCCCTTGATCCCAGCCCTTCATTTGCAGCCCATGGCACCCCATTATTCCACTCTGTCCTGATGTAGTGGAAGGGAACAGGAGAGTGGAGTGTCACAGAGACTTGCACAGAGAAGGTGGAGGTCATATGCTGTGGAGACCTTTGTGAGGAGAAAAACCTTGCTGGATTTTGTGAGAGACTATGGGTGACTAGGATCGGACACACAATTGCAGGGCCTGGTGCAAAATGAAAATATGGGGTCTCTTGTTCAAAAACTGTTAAGAATTTCAAGAGATAACAGCAGATCGTAAAATCAAGTGCAGGGCCCTTCCGAGCGCAGGGCACAGGTCACATGAAGCTGGCCATGTAGGTGACCTTTGAACAGGTAGTTTCAGAAGTGTGATGGGGTCAGAATCAGATGGTTCTGATGGTTGGATACCGGCTAACGTCATCTCTGGGGATGTACTCACCACTGATTCATTCTTGTGATATCAGCAGGGGCATTTCTCACACTCACATTTGCCCAAGGAATCAGATAAGACACATTTTCTACGCTTGGGCGGGAGAAGTGAAGATTTTGTCTGCGGGTTGCTTGTTAGTTAGGCCAGGCACTCTGCCATGAATACTTGGGCGTCGATTTCGGGACTGTGGTTGAATGTGGAATAAAAAGCGTGTGGAACCCTACCCTCCCGCTGCTCTTCTCTCACACTGGGCAGGGGGTTTAGCCAAGGCACAAGAGTTGAGCCTGGCTGTTGATGGAGAGAGTTATCTGCTTCTCAGACCAGGGCAGCTACCAGCCAAGAGTGGGCCGGGAGTGCCCAGCACAGCAGCTGTGGGAGAAGCAGGCAGTCTGTGCACATAGGGGAATCCACCTGGAGTAGTGGCGTGGTTAATGGAGGGTGGCTAATTGCAGTGCTCAGAAGAAGACACAGAAGGGGAGGAAGGAGGAACCACACTCAGGATGGTGCACAGCGCAGGCTGAGGGTTGACAAGCCTGGAGCACAGATTTTTCTCTGCCATTCATTCATTCAGCGAGGATTTCCCGTGAGCCCCATGTCTGAGACCCGTGCTTGTTGAAGGGAATACAGATCCTGTTCTTAAGGTGCTGGCTCTGTAGCAGTGGTTCTCAAAATCCAGCCTGCACATTAGCATACCTGGAGGAGCTTTTAAAAATTAGTTATGCCTGGCCTTCACCTGGACCAATTAAATTAAAATCTCTTTGGATGGGGTGTAGGCACTGATATTTTTCAAAATCTCCCCAGGTATTTCTTTTTTTTTTATTATTTTTTAATTTTTTTCCTTTTTCTCCCCAAAGCCCCCCGGTACATAGTTGTATGTTCTTTGTTGTGGGTCCTTCTAGTTGTGGCATGTGGGATGCCGCCTCAGCGTGGCCTGATGAGCAGTGCCATGTCCGCGCCCAGGATTCAAACCAACGAAACACTGGGCCGCCTGCTGTGGAGTGTGCGAACTTAACCACTAGACCATGGGGCCAGCCCCTCCCCAGGTATTTCTAATGTGCAGCCTGAGTTGAGAATTACAGTCTAGAGGGAGACATGGACGTGTCAACACACGTCTCCACAATGCATTGATGTGATGTCTGCCATAATAATGTGTGTACGAGCAGCTTTGAAGCCCAGAGAGAGAATAAGTAACTGGCAGCATCTGCTGGCTGTCTACTTGGTATCGTGGGAGGCAACATTTTACCTCTATCCTCTTCACGTTTTTCAGCTGGGTCTGAGAACTAAGTTGACATAAGTTAGATTAACAGGAGAAAAGCATACAAATTTATACAAGTTTTACATGACACAGCTGTCATAAGGAAATGAAGACCCAAAGAAGTGGCAAAACACAAATACTTTTATACTAGGGTGAATAAAGAGAGGCAATTGTGGAAAAGTGACTACGATATATGAGGAAAAGGTAACTAAACTATTTGGGGAGGCTAGAGGAAGATAAGAATTATTTTAACAAGGTCTGTTTGTACCAAATTTTTCAGCTTTGACTCCCCATTAAAGAATGTTTATTTTCTCCTGGTACCAGGAGGGCATCTTTCACAGGAGAGTTTTTGTCTCCTGTTTTCTGGAAGAAAACGGGAGATTAGAATGCCCTTCTTGCATCTGTTGTCTTTTAAGTGCTTTTAGCTCAAAATAATCTTATGCCCAAGTGGCATATTCTGGGGCAGCATATTCTGCCACTCTTCAGTATCCATTCCTTACCTCCTAACTTGATAACACACACTGATTTGGGAGTAGTACTCAGTCCTTTATGATAGAGCCTGATTGGTCCTCTCAGTCTATCGGAAGTCCTGTTGCTCACTTTCCCAGCCTCCTTGGCAGCTGGGGGTGGCTCAGTTCTGGTCAATGACATCTTAGTAAAAGTCTGCTGCAGGAATTTCTGGGACAGTCTTTGATTTGCTCATAGAAGAGGATGGGCTGGGCCCTCCCCTTCTCCCTACAGCTTTCCGCCTGCTTTGAGCATGGAGGGTCAACCATAGCCATCTTGTGACCATGAGACAACAAAGCCGCTGGCCCGGATATGGTGAGCCACTCAACCAAGACCAACAACCGTCTACCTCTAGACTCATTATGTGAGAAAAACTAACCCCGCTTCAGTGCTTCTCAACTTGGCTGCACATTAGAATATGGGAGGTTTTGAAAACTAATGATGCCTGGGTCCATCATGGAGCTTCTAATAAAATCGATCTGGCACGTCTCTGGTGACGGGGACTTTTAAAAGCTGCTTAGGTGATTCTGCTGGCGACCTAAGGTCAGAATCATTCCTTTGGTTGGTTTTCTGTTGCTTTCAGCTGAGAACATTCTTATCTGACACACTGCCTTTTCCAGGATATCAGGGAAGGCTTCACCAAGGAATGACATCTGAGCTGGGTCTTTAAGGCTGAGTTCATCAGGTGAGCATCAGAGTGTGCGCAACAACAAGGGAGCGTGAGAAGGCTTGGCTTCTCCTCGGCTACAGAGTAGAGGGGGCGGTGGCAAAGGCCATCGTTACGGTGGAAAGGCACCAGATCCTTGTGGTCTTCTACACCGTGGAAGAATTGGGAATTGACTCAGTTGCTGAAGGATTGAAAGGTTTTAAAATGAGCTTTGAGGGGCTGGCCCCGTGGCCGAGTGGTTAAGTTCGCACACTCCACAGCAGGCGGCCCAGTGTTTCGTCAGTTCGAATCCTGGGCGCGGACATGGCACTGCTCATCAGACCACGCTGAGGCAGCGTCCCACATGCCACAACTAGAAGAACCCACAACGAAGAATATACAACTATGTACCGGGGGGCTTTGGGGAGAAAAAGGAAAAAATAAAATCTTAAAAAAAAAAAAAAAATGAGCTTTGATATTTGGATCACTTTGCTGGCTGTGTGGAGGACGTTTTGGTGGAAGAAAAACCATTACTGCAACAGTCCAGGTGGGAGGGAACTGAGTGGAAGCCGTTGTGTGGGATTGAAGGAGGATGACCGGGGTGTTCCATTCTTCACCGTGGCCTGTGGGGCATGTAGGAAAACCCTTGGGCCAGGCCCAAGACCATCAGACATTTGTGCCACTGGTCATATCCTTCCCCAACCTCCTTGGGCCTTTGGCTCTCTGGCCCTCACTGTCTCTGAGATCCCTTCCAGCCTGATGTTCAATGTGTCTATGATGGTGGGCAGAGAAGAGGCTGAGGCACAGCAGGGCCCTGATTCCCAAGTTCAGGGCCCCAGAAAGTTAGGTCCCTCAGGCCCCCTCCCTGGCTGGGGCTGAGTCACAGCTCCTCCCTCCAAAGGCAGTAACTCCATGCCCCAAAGATGTGACCTGGGAGGAGAGAAACTCAGCAGGCCTCCAGGCCCCTGCCTCCCACATGTTGGAAGTCCTCAGGTCCAGCCTGGATAGAGAGGGATAAACAAAAAAGGAGGAAGGCTAGCTACTTTTCCTATCGTGTCAGCCAGGGACCCTCTAACATGAGAATATTGGGCAGTTTGGGTCATCCCCCAGACAAAGGGGGAAGATGGCGTGTGCACACATATGGCCACCAGATAAGCTAGGGGTGGGCTCTCGCTGAGGTGTCTGCTGGGGTCAGAGGAGCCCAGAGGACGAAGCAGTGGACTCTGCCTGGAAAGTTAGGGAAGGCTTCACAAAGAAGGTGATAGGTGAGCTAGGGCTTGAGGGATGAACAGGAGTCTACTAGATGGAAAAGAATAGGAGGAAAAGCATTGTAGGCTGAGACAAGAGCAAGAAAGAGCAAGGTGTGTCTGAGACCGGTTAGAAGCTCAGTGTGGCTGTAGTCCAGGATGTGTGGGCCAGTTACATCCTTCAGTTAACATTCACTGAGAATCCACTATGTGCAGGAAATGCAAATATCACTAAGACATGGAGCAAGCAGCCTAGCCAGGGAGGTGGTTGTGTGACAGATAACTTAAACATAGCACCCTCGGTGTGGGATAGAAGACTTTACAAGGCACCTACGGGAACATGAGGGACACACACGACAGGGGAGTGGCCAGGAATGGCTTTTAGGAGAAATGCCACTTCCTAGCTGTGTGACCTTGGGCAAAATATTTAAACTCTCTGTACTGCAGTTTTCTCATCTGTAAAGTGGGGATAATAAAAAACCTACTTCACAGGTTTAAAGATTAAAAGACTTTATACACGTAAAGCCCTTTGCCCAGGACCTGGGACGTAGCAAATGCTAAATCATGTCAGCTGTGATTGTCACTGAAGGAGGAGTTGGTGTTAAGCAGGGGAAGAAGATGATCTGGGGCAGTGGCCACCCAGCATTTCTAGAGAGGTGGGGTCTACTGGGGTAGTCATGCAACTGGAAGGACACTAGGGGATCTTTTCTTAAAGCTCCCGTTTCTATAACCATTGCCCTTTTGATCTATAATGTTTACAGTTTTCTAAACTGCTTTTGTTTTCCCCGTGGGAGATGATGTCGATTGTCCATATCAAAGATTATGCAGATTGCATAATCCTAAAGAACAGCCCTGCTCTTGATTCCCAGAGGGAGGTTCTGGTTCCCAGGCCTTGGCTCTGGCGTGGAGGCCCTGGCCAGCTCAGCCCTTTCCCTCCACAGCCCAAAATACCCAACCACAGGGCTGGGCAAGGGGAGGAGAGCTAGTGCCCACTGCCAAGGCTGCCAGTCGCTGCGCCGCCTCCTCTCCTACCGGCTCAGTGGCTGTCACTCAGTGCTTCTTTGTCTACTTAGCATCACTGTCCCTGCCGCCGCCCCGCTGCCACCACACACTTGGGGTGCTCCCCAACCAAACAAAAACACAACTGCCAAGGAAATAAACAGCTCCCTTCCTCCCTGTGCTCGCTCTGGGTGTGACCTCAACACCTCCCCTTCAGCAAGGAGGGAGGTGAGGTGGCGGGGATCAGGAGGTCGTGTAGGAGTGAATTGGAGGGGAGTGGGGGGTAGAAGGAGTAGAGAGGTGCCATTCTCTCCCTTAGGGCTCGGGGAAGGGGCTATGTTTCTTGATGCCCACCTCCTCACTTCCCACCACTGCGTCACCTTGGAATGTGGTCCCAGTTTATCACCCCCGGCCATGTTTGCTATCTTGGCCCACATGGTGTATCTCCGGCAAGCAGAGGCCACGCCACCCTGCCAGTTGGAAACACCCCAAGGCTGGGAAATGCGTCTACCTCAGCAGACTAAGGAGCTCCCAGAGGGCAGGGAGAGCCTGTGATGGTGGCTCACTCTGTTTTAAAAACACACATTTCATAAAAGATTTAAAGCTATCTCACATTACACAAAGTTTGAAACTAGAGAATGAAAAAGATCACCCAAATCCCTCCATCCTAACAAGATCTGTTTTTATTTTATTGAATTTCCACAGCCTAGTAAAGTAGATGCTTAAATATCATTCAAATGTGGAATGGATTAATAACAGGCAACACATATAGAGCACTTCCTAGGTGCCAGGAATTGTTCTAAGTGCTTCACATTTATTGACCATTTAATCCTCACAACAACATGAGGTGGGCACTATCATGATCATCACCATCTCCATTTAGAAATTAAGTAACTGAAACACAGAGAGGTTCAGTGACTTGTCTAAGGTCACACAGCTGTGACCAGAACAGGGAATTGAACCTTGGCAGTCTGGTGCCAGCATCTCACCAGTGTTGTTCTTTTTTCCTAATCATTAATGCATATACAGGTTTATAAAAACTTTTTATTATAGACAATTTCAAACATAAAAAAGTAGAGAAAATAATGTAAGGAATCTTATGTCCCCGTCTCCTAGTTTCAATAATTATCACCTCATGGCCCATCTTGCTTTTTATTCCCTCATGTCCCTAGCCCAGATTATTTTGAAGCAAATCAAATCATCATATCATACATCAACATACATTTTAGTATATGTCTCCAAAAGATGAGGATATTTTATTAAAAAAATTAATACAATATGATATGCCTGAAAATTTATAATTCCTTGATATCATCAATTTGAATAGTCAATATTCAAATTTCCCTAATTTAATAAAATCTTAAAAAAAAAGTTGGCTTGCTTGAATCAGGATCCAAGTACGGCTTTTGGTTGATATATTGCTTAATTTATCTTAATCTGTAAGTCTCTCCCTCTTCTTTTTTCTTCTACGTGTTAAGGGAATTGGGTGTTTCTTCTAGCTTCCCTTCTTCTAGATTTTTCTGATTGCATCCCTGGGGAATGCTCATGCTATTTTTTTCCCTGATCTTTTCATATAACCTTGCAAGCATTTTCCCATACTGCCAGATAGTTTTCACAACAATTTACTATAATGCTTCATACTATCCCATCCAATGGACATACCATAATATTTTTCTTGGGCATTTAGGGTACTTTTGGTTTTCCACTATAATAAATAATTCTAAGGTGAACGTCCTCACACATAGTACATGAGATGTACTTCCTTAGAATATGCTACCAGAAATATAATCATGGCTCCGAGGCCTGAATGATTTTACAACTTCTTGGCACATATTATCAACTGTTTGTCCAAGAGGCTGTGCCTTCCCCAGCACCACATAAGAGTGCTGACACTCGTTCTGAACAGTGCTTAGGCCTATTACGGCTGAAGGATGTTTGGTGAAGACATGGTAATTATAAGGGCAGAGAACTAGAGAAGGAGAAAGATGATGACAAAGACTCAGGCTAAATTAAGCAGAAAGTGATCCACAATTTACCACAAACCCAGCGTGAGTCAGAACTCTGTTCATTCCCATTGTGAAAAAAATTTGATAACAGGGGTTATTAATAGGGCATGGCATGTCCAGTAATCTTTCCGTTAGACTATGCATTAGTCAGAACCTTATTTGAGACGTGGATCCAGTCTGGGTCATGGAGCTTTGCAGAGATGTGAGGAAACTGGCAAAGATCCAGAGAGCTTGATCAACTTGATGCAGGATGGAAGAAACTCAGAGAAAAGTCAAAAGGGTCAACTAGGCTCATTTTGTAAAAAATAAAGACATCTTTTTTTGCTTCAATGCTAGGGAGGTTTCTGTGGAAAGGACAATATTCAGTTGTTTGCTTTTGTCTTCAGAAGTCTGACTATAAGCAGAGGGGCCTCCAAGAACCAGGAGAAACTTCTGTAGGATATAAAGCAGAACTTTAGACTCTGGGTTGATTATTTAGGTCTTGGGATGAGTGTTCTTGGGCCATTGGCCCTGGAAATGTTCTAGAAGCTGCCTGTTCTCCTGTTCTGAGTGGTTCAGATATCCACCTGCTTGGTGCCCCACTACATACTTCCCAGGACCCCATTTCAGCTTTGTGAAAATTGTTTCCTAGCAGCCCCCAGGGGAGGGGTGGGTGAGGGCTGAAGGAAGTGTCCCCAGGTTCCCTGGGCCAGCATTCTCCTTTCTATCCCCTCACATTCATTTCAGGTTGTGTTTACAGCCAGTCAAGTTGGCATGTCATGACTTCATCTGATCCTGCTATTCCAGCCCTGCCTTGAATAGAGTGGGCTTAGAAAGAAGCTGGGTAGGGGAGTGGAAACTACTCAAACAAGGCCCTCTTGGTGACATGGAGAGTGAGGGTGACCCAGGAGACATTAAGAGCCATTTAGTTCAACTTCCTACAGAAATAGCTTCCTACAGTGCAACAGGTGCTTTACACACATTCTTTTGAATTTGCACAACCTTGGAGGTAGATTTTCACAGGTGTGGAATTGGAGATTAAGACAAGTTATTTGTCCAGGGTCACATTGCTGCTCAAGGAGTGCCTACGCTATGTCTACCTGGCAGTAAAATCTGTGTCCTTGCCTCGAGAGCATGCAGACCAGAGAAGTGGAGCCTCTTACGCACACCACACAAGCTCACCTGGGACTAGAATTCAGACTCCTAACCATTCATCAAGGAGTCTTCGTAAGACACATGGCCTCTTCTGACATCTAATGTGAGGAGGCCAAGGATGCGGCCTGGCCCAGGTGTAACTGAGGAGTAGGCAGGCTGTGGACCAACGCTGTCCACAGGCTGCGATCTCTGCCCTCCAGACTCTCATCGTAACCGTCGTCGTGAAAAGCCCGCTTCCACGCAGGCTCGGCAGGGCAACGGGCTAGTTCTTTTATGGAGGAGCCAATGTTCGGCCAGGGCGGAGGCAGTGAGGTGTAGCGGAAAAATTCTGACCTGGGGTCAGAATCTCTGGGCTCCAGTCCAGGTTAAGACCCAGTGGAGAACTACGCGGCAAGTTACTTAAAACTGCGAGTTTTCCTCATCTGCAAAACCCAGCAAGGGTAAACCGCACTTGAAGAGCGCGGACGCAAAAGCAGGAATTGTTACCCGCCAAAGCAACACCATCTGATCCTAGTATACTTGCTATTGAAACGTCCGGGCTGTGCGGCGCCAGCGAGGCCCTAGCTGGAGCGGGGAGAGAAAACTACAACGCCCAGAAGGCGTCGGGAGGGCCGGCACTCAGGCAAGGGGAGAAACTACAACTCCCAGGAGGCATCCGGCGGGCCGGCGCTGGGCGGTGACGTCACCGGGTCTGGCGCGGGGCCCTGATTCGGCAGGGGCTGCCAGCGGGGTGGCCGCCTCCGCGGTGTTGTTACAGCTGCTGAAGCTGCAGCGACCCCCGCCCCGGGCACCCTTCCCGGGCCCTCGACCTCCGGCCCCGCACGGTGAGTCCAGAAGGGCGGCCTCCGGTGGCCGAACTGGGAGACTCCTGGGGCTAGAGGCGGGGCGGGGAAGGAGGTGGGGGCTGCTGGGGGAGGCGCCGGGCTGGAGGGGACTGGAGCAGAGTGAGTGGGGCTGGAGGGGGTGCAGCCGAGCGGGTGCATCAGCCGAAGGGATGCGCAAAGGGGAAAGTGGAGGCGGAGGCCGGGAATGGGGCGTCGGGGAGGAGCGCTCGGGCTGGGGGTGGAGGGTGGGGGGCGGGGAGCTCTGGGCTTCGGGGATAAAGGTTTGGCCGCCTCTAGGGCTGGGTGAACGCTAGGAGGTGGGGGTGGGGCTCCGGACCGGGCCAGGTTCCGTGTGCGAGGTCCCAGGCTGGAGAGCGGAGCGGTAGGCTCCCCTTCGGCTTAAGGTCTCGCTCAGAAAACCTCAACAATAGGGAGGGCTCCGCCTCCTCGCTTCATCCTCTGCCCCGGCTAGTAGGGGTTCGCCTCGGTACTCGCCGGCTTTCCATTCCTACTGGTCTCCGGAGTCCGGAAGGCAGGGCCAGAGCTGAGAGGTGAGCGACTGTGGCCCTGCGGGTTGTGGGGGTGGGCAGAATGAAAAGGGCATTGTGACGTGCTGCCGGGGACTTCTCGTTGGGGTCCAGGTTGCAGGCTTGAATATTTTGTGCTCCTCATCCAGAAGGTAAAAGGTTTGATGCTTAAAGGGCTGCCCTTACTTGGGGAAGAGAATAGGAGGCATTCACCTGGTATCTGCCCTGGGGCGCACTGTGGCCTTGGCTTAAGTGTCTGACGGACTGGCTGGGCAGGGATATTTGCATGTCGAGCCAGGGGGGAAGGGAAAGAAGGAGTAGTAGAGTTACCGGTGAGAAAGTGGTTAACAGAACAGAATTGCTGCAGGCTCTAGTTTGAGACAGGTTATGAAACCACGTTAGGGACTGGTACCGGCAGCCACCTGCCAGCTGTGGCAGCAGAACTTTTCAGCCTCAGCTGCAGTAGATTTGCTCTTCCTCTGCCAGTTTCTCTCCATTTCTCCCCTTGTGGGTGAGGGGCGATTGGTTATTTTACTAATGGAAGTGATACATACCCATAGTCACACCAAAGTGTCGAGAGTGCTTCTTGGCTGCCAATCTTTTTCTTAGTTTATCGGTCTCTTCTGTCTTTGGGGGGAGTCTCCTGGGATTTCTGCTCTCAGGGCAGGTAGTGTTCAGGCTTCAGGAAGAAACTTCCCAGGGGGTCAGTTAGGTCCTAGGTCTGAGCCCCTCCTAGACTCATTAGTCTTCATTGGATGCCCTGTTTCAGCCGGAAAGGAGTGTAGGATGATCTGGGATTCAGCAAGGCTCTTGGCACTCCTGGGCAAAATACCAGGGAGGGCTCTCTACTCCTACACCCCTGGAGGTCTAGGTTAGGGAGAAGTGGGGAGGGGCAGCAGATCCTGGTCAGCCTTGGGGAACACGTTCTCTCTCCTTAGACAGTAGTAAGTCCTTCAGAGCCCTCACTTCCTAGCCAGCCCCCCCGCCACCCCCCTCACTAGGGGAAGACTTTTGCATAGTAGGTGTCCCAAGAGCTGTGTTAGGGTAACTGAAGCCCCAAGGCCCTGGGAAGGTAAACAACTGAGCCAGTCTCGGTTTTCTAGTTCCTTGGGTTTCTGTTAGGCCCAGTTATCCACCCTAATGGGCTGAGCTGATGGGCCCCAGGAGCATCACCTTTTCTAGGATGCACCCTGGGCCATCTCACGTATGTTTGCATGCTGGGAAGCTGTGTTATGGGATCACCTTTCCCCTGAGGTCTTTAAGCTTGGAGCTGAGAAGAGGAAACTTGTTCCCATTATCCTGGAAGTAAGGAACTGATCCTTGAGAATTCTCGCTCCTACGCAGGCTTGGCTGTGATCCTAGCCAGAGACAGATAGCAGATGAGTCTTGGGGGAGTTCATTGCAGCAGGGTGAGGGAGGTGGCTTCCTGGGCACTTCCAGGATACCCCCCAACTGGGACCCCTTTCTGCCTCCCCATCTTTTGACAGGGCTGTTACCGTGGTGATGACCTTAGGGTATCAGGCAGGACCTTCCCTCAGCTAGGGAGGTGAGCCAGTACAAAGGCACCATCTGTTCCCACCTCCTGCTGGTCACAGGGCCCTCAGGGATCTGGGGATAGCCAGCTCTGGACAAGGGCTGCTCATCCCCTCCTTACCTGCATCCAGGAGTGTGACTGGGCTGCATTATTTCCTGGGCATCAAGGACAATCCTCCTGGTTCTTCCAGCTGCAGGGCTTCTGCCATTGGAGCTGGGCAGGGAAGGCATGGTGCTAACTTACACTTGGAAACAGGTGCTGGGAAAAGAGACCAAGGCAAGGATGGGTGGGGCAGAGAGGAAAGGGGCAGGAGAGAGGCCACAGGTGTGGTTTTGTGTCCTTGGGAGGGGTATGTTGATGTGGGTTCCAGCTGCCCATGGGAGCTGTAGATGTTGGCTACGTTCTCTATCCTCATCTCTCACCAGGGAAAGGGGCCCTGGTGATTTGGCGGCAGAGTGAGTGGCATGATGAGGGTTAGCCTGAGCAGCTGCCAAATGGATAAAATGTCTGGATAGGGTGTTTTGTGTCACCAAGAAGGAGGCTTCCAGGTCTGGGCAAAGGTTGTCCCTAGTCTGTTGTTTTGTTTTCTTCCCTCCCTCCCTCTTTCTACTCTCAGTCCTCTTGGGTCACAGTAGGGGAGGGGCTGGAGAATTAGGAGAGATGGGTAGAAGCAGTGATCCCCAAATGTTTTATCCACCACTACCTGTTCTCACAGGCCCTACCTCCTTTTCTTCCTTCTAATCAGGGGAGAGGACTCAGGTGTAGATGTCCCGTATCAGGCCCTTAGTGAGACAGAGAGTCCAGCAGGGGTTATGCTGACTGATTCTTAGGGGACAGGACTCTTGTCCCCTCTGTGGGCTTTGTGGGAAGAGGGCCGTCATGGGAATGCTCTGGAGGATGAGCTTGGGAGACAGGCAGTGGTTTCTTTGCTCTGGGGCAGGATGCCTCTTGGTCTATCCACCCAGGCACTCCCAGTGGCTGGTGGGGCACCGTCCTGGTTGGGTGATGTTTGGGGCAGCCTGGTGTTTCTCCCAAACCAGCAGTGGAAAATGAAGAGAGTTAAGTCCGCATGGAGTTTCTCTGACCTCCTTGCTTGAGAATCAAACAGTAGCCCTGCCTGTAGTTCTTGGGGAAGGCAGAGCTTCCCTCCCTGTGGGACTTGGAGGCTGTGAGGGGGCAGGGAAAGTGGTGTGACCCGTCTCACCTGTGTTGCTTGTTTGCAGAGCAGCGGCAGGAGAGGGGCAGCAGGATGAATGTGGGCACCGCGCACAGCGAGGTGAACCCCAACACGCGGGTGATGAACAGCCGCGGCATCTGGCTCTCCTATGTGCTGGCCATCGGGCTTCTCCATGTTGTGCTGCTCAGCATCCCCTTCGTGAGCGTCCCTGTCGTCTGGACTCTTACCAACCTCATCCACAACATGGTGAGGACCTGCCTGCTGCCCACCCAACCGTGTGGGCTACTCTGCTGAGCAGAGCAGGGCTGAGGAGTAGGGGGAGCCCCCCCAGACATGGGCCAGATGTCAGGGTGACATACTGACAACATCTGTCACCAGAGCCAGACCCACCTCTCATCTCTCTGCCCCACTCCCGCTCTGGGTTGCAGCCCTGTGCACGCCAATAAGTGGAATAAAATCTGCAGATTTGTCCACATCTCCAGGATGGGGTAGCTTATGGGCCTGGGTGATGGGCAGTTGAGAGCTGAACTAAGGGCCCCAAAGAGTCCGCAGGACCCAGGCACCCAGCCCAGTGCAGAAATTCTTCTTTCCCAAGTTAGGGATCTCAAACCATCTTCCACTCTTGCCCCTCTCTGCTCCCTCACCACCTGCTTGCTACCTTATATGCTTTTGGTGGGCAAGCAGGGGCCTAGTTCCTTCCCATCAGCTTGCCCCCTCCCATCTGGCACAGGGAGGCCGTCACTGGGCTGGAGGAGCAGCATCTCCATGCCAGTTCTGCAGCTAACTCCTCCCCATGGTTCTCCTCATGCCAGGCCTGCCCTCTCACCCCCTTATTCTCCTGCCAGGCTCCCAGCTGCTCCATGCTGACCTCCAGCCCACATCCCCCTGCCCAGCAGAGGGAGGCTCCTGATCACCCGGAGCCCATTCTGACTGGGGTGGAGGAGCTGAGCTGGGGAGGGCCTTTTGCTTTTTGTGTCCTCTACTGAAGACCCCTCCCCTCCAGGGCATGTACATCTTCCTGCACACGGTGAAGGGGACACCCTTTGAGACCCCGGACCAGGGCAAGGCGAGGTTGCTGACCCACTGGGAGCAGATGGACTATGGGGTCCAGTTCACAGCGTCTCGGAAGTTCTTGACCATCACTCCCATCGTTCTGTGAGTGCCTTGGGTAGAGGAGGACACCGGCAGGCAGGCCAAGGCCTGGGGACCCCTGGGGCCCCGCCAGGCTTAAACACCTCCCTAGCTCTGGCTCTTCGCATAGGAACGAACAGAGGAAAGAAAGTTGGAGTGTCTCTGGGTCTTATGCTGGGCTCAGGCCTCCCCGGCCCTGTCTTTCCTCAGTTGGGGCTTCCTTCCTGACAGTGAGTAGCCCATAGGCCTGGGGTAAAGCAGGGGGCCTCTTTAGCCAGGGAGATCTTGCCACCCTGCTTCCGTTCTGGGGGTCTTTCCCATGACCACTCGGCTGTTGGGACTCTGCCTCTCCTCACTCAGGAAGTGAAGGGGACCTCCAAACAGTCATAACTCTCCCCAACCTTCCCCACCCAGGTACTTCCTCACCAGCTTCTATACCAAGTACGACCAGATCCATTTCATCCTCAACACTGTGTCCTTGATGAGTGTGCTCATCCCCAAGCTGCCCCAGCTCCATGGCGTCCGGATTTTTGGAATCAATAAATACTGAGGGTGCAGCCCCTTCCCCTGCCCAGGATGGCGGGGGAGGGGTGAGGCCTGTACTGTGATGCTGAAGACAGAACGAGCCTCTGGATACTGCCAGAGATGGGAGTTGAGCCTCTGGGCCCTAGTTTCTCCGCTCTTGTCCCCCAGTAGCTGACTTGAAGTAGCTTGTAGAGGGGTTGGGGTGGGCCCCCCACGGCTCTGACCCTTTCTGATTTTTTTCATCTTTTCCTTTTGCCTTTTGGGTAGAGACTCCATGGGGGTAGTCATGGAATGGGCTGGGCTCTGGGGCTGAATACAGACCTGTGAGGTTAGACAAGAAGCCAGGGAAACCCCCTGTTCACTTGCTCATCCTATTGCTAAAGCACTTTAACCTCTGCGAGGGGAGCAGAGGGGATGGTACAGCTTCTAGATTGTTTCACTTTAATTCTTATCTTTTAGGATGACACTCAGTGTGTGCTTGTATGTATGAAAGCAAGTGCGTGACGGTGCCTCATCCCTCTGGATAGAGAACCATCTATTCCATGTCTCATGCTTTTGGTAGCTCCCCTCTGACCCATCCTGGGTACTGGGTGGGAGTGGGGAGGGTAAGGAGAAGGATGGTGGGGCTGGGTGTGGATGGCCTGGTCCCAGAGGTGAGGGGCCAGGGCTGCTGCCATCCTGGCCCTGGTGGAGGTGGGGGGTGGAGGGAAATAGTGAGTTGAGACTTAGAAGAAGGGGTCTGCATAGCAGCAGAGATTGGTACAAGGGAAGGAGGGTAGGGACAGAAGCTAAACCCAAACTCATCCTTTGGGAAATGGTCAGGGAGCGGGGCAGCTTGGAGAGTTAATTTACCCACAGCATGATGGTGGTAATAGGAAAGGAGGCTGCTGTGGGTTTGAAGCTCTGGGTTGGCACGAGGGGGTGGTGATGGGTGGAAGAGGCCTGTGAGTCATTGTAAGCACAGGTCCAGTTTGACACTGCCTTTGGTGTGAGGGACATGGGGAAACTGGGGCAGAAATAATGAATGGTGGGGCCCTCCCCTAGCCCTTCACCTCGTAACTTGTGCATAATGGAAAGAGTGAAGACTGGCCTGCAGGTGCTGTCTCCTGTCTGAGGAGAAGAGGGGTGGGCTGGAGAGGAGCCACCTTCTCCCCTCCCCATATGATTAGCATCTGTATTACTTTTGAAAAGGTGTGGGTTCCTGTGCCCCCTCCCAGGGCCCTGAGGGAGAAGGGGAGGTCATTGGCCCTTTTTTCTGCCTTCTGGTCCCCCCAACTCCCACCCCATCATGTATCATAGGGAACTTTCACCTCAAAATCTTTCTAAGCAAAGTGTGAATAGGATTTTTACTCCCTTTGTACAGTATTCTGAGAAATGCAAATAAAGGACACTGTGTTCCTATTTCCCCCGAGTCTGGCGTCTGCTTCCTGGAGGGCCCTGGGGGTGGGGGACAGGGCTGTGGACGGCACTCCTGGCTGAGGGCAGTGTGGGAGCATCAGTTCAACCCTCTGCCTGGATGGTAGGAGGGACCCTGGGATGCTGCTCTTCCTGCTGCCCCAGCAGAGCGAGCCCAGGGACTGGGAGGGAACCAGCAGAAGCAGCAGCAGCCCAGAGAGCAGGATTCTGCTCTGTGGCTTGGCCGGCTGTTACTCTGACAGAACTTCCACCTCTGGGCTCCACAGGCTGGCTGAGTCAGGTTGGGCTGGCAGAGGGACGGCTTGTGCCATGGCCAGCGAGGGGATTGGTCCAGCAATGGCTTCATAAATTAAGCGGGAGTGCCCAGTCCCATCCTCCGAATACCTCCCCTGTTCGCACTTTTCCTGCAGTGCTCCTTCCCTGGGAGGCCTGCCTTTTCTCCTGGCCTTTCTGTCTTCAGAGGAATCTTCATGCTTCCTTCTCCTGCCATAAGTGGGAGTGGGAGGGGAAGAGAGGACCCACCCAGGACTTATTTAGATTCCCATGGCCGGGAGAGGGAGTCCTTCTAGCAAAGGACCTCCTGTCTCCAAGGTTCCTGGCCTTTCAGCATGTTCTGTGCAGTGTCATCTGCTGTTCCAGGACAGGTACAAAGTCCCGGGTCAGAGTAGGTATCAGGAAGATTGCAGGATCTTTGCCCAAGTCCACCTGCCACCTGCTGCCACCCCTGAGCGAGGCCCACACAACACTGGGAAGAGAAATGCACCTGGGCTCAGTCCTGGAGGTGGGGGGTGCCCTGGCAGCTTCCTTGGACCTGCAAGAATGCAGTCAGGGTGAGGGGCTGAGGCACATCAACAAGAATAGGGTTCAAATCCCAGCTCTGCCACTAACTGGCCTTGCGGCCTCATCAAATTTCTTCCTCTGTTGTGTAAGAGGTTAGGGCTGTTGTGAGGATTAGCACAAGGCCTGGCATGTGGTAAATACTTAACACATGGTAGCCATATTAATATTATTACTATTTGTTAGAACTGCTGTCATCATCTCAAGTGTTCTTTCTGAATTGAGGAAAGCAGGGGCCAGAAGACAGGGGGTCATCTCTGAGGGCTGAGGGGTGGGGCCAGAGGCTTCTCGCTGGAGGTGAAGGTGAGTGACAAGGACAGGTGGTGGCATCTTTCCCAATGGGCTATGTGTTCTTACTGGCCCATCCTGTTCCCTACAGGTGTTAGCTGCTGTTGCCCTCTGAGTCTTCAGTGTTGCCCACCATGGCATGGCATTTGGGTAACTGGGTCTGACTAGTTCACTCATACACTTGTCATAGCCATGGCCATTGCCTGCTGGCACTTGGTTGGTACCCACCTGTATTCTATTTCTCTATTCCAAACTCACTGGATTGCATGGCTTGGTATGCCTCCTTCTGCACCATTCTCTGGCCCAAACTCACCTACAAGGTATATCAGGTTAATATGTATATACCACCTGTTCCCTTAGTCCAAGAGGAGGGAAGAGTTTCTTACCTCTGGCCTTATCTGCCTCCAGCCCATGTGAAAAAAATATATATCCCACCTGCTCCCTTAGTCCAAGAGAAGGGCCTTATCTGCCTCCAGCCCAGCCATAATGTAGCTTATCTAAAGGCCCGAGAGGTGGGGCACCTAGCCCTACCCAGCTTTCCAATTCCTTTCAATTCTCTTATTCAGTCTCACTTCCAGAGACACAGCGGCCAGGAACCGTGCAGAGATCTTACAGAGGGGATTCTCACAATCTCCATTTCTGGTAAGCAGCTGAGGACAGAGAGGAGGTAGGTGGCCCCTGAGATGGGACTGTGAGCCCTGGGCGCTGCCTTTTCAGATACGCAGAAGAATTCCTAGGTTGGGAGTGAGTTGAGAGTTGGCCACAGTGATGGGGGCAGGGACAGAGAAGGGAGCATGGGTGAGTAGGTACCTGGGCCGCCAGAAGGGACTTAGTGGGAGGTGGCCAGGAAGCTTGTGAGGGGAGGCCTGGCCCCAGGAGGGAAGCAAAGGAACCTGAAGAAAGGCAAAGAGATCTCAAAAGGAAGCCGTTGCAGAGTGATTGATGAAAGGGGAGAGAGTGAGAAGGATCTGGACGTAAGAGAGTCTGAAGGGTCCAATGTGGGGACAAAGAGCTGTTGCCAAAGAGAGACAGAGAAGGAACAGCTGTGTCAGATTGGACTGGTGATAAGCCTATGGAGGGTCCCACAGGGCAGGGGAGATAAAGAGGTACAGGGGCCAATTGTAGACCAGGAGAGGGTGAGAGAGAGAGTGGGTTGGGGGAGATGCCCCAGGTGGGGTTTTGGGGTTCATTGTATTTTAGCAAGTGTAAGGGACCTTTCAGAAGGTGACCAAAAACTGAGGAGACAGGACTGGGGGTGGGGGGCTGTTCAGGGCTCCTAGTTCCAAGCCACTCTTGCACTTCATCCTTTCTCTTTTGTTTCCTTCTAAGGCTGACTTACCACCATTTTGTTGGGAAATGATTGGTAGGGGCACCCATCCAACTGCTTTGCAGAGTACAGCAAGGGAGGGAAGCCCCGGAGTCAAGGCCAAGGGAAGAAGTAATCAGTTGGGGTTGGTAATGTGAGGTCTGGCAGCTATGCCTTTCATCCCTTCCTGGATCCTCTGTTCATCAACACTGGTGAGAGTCTGGCTAGGGGATGGCAGGCCTGCCTTCCCACCCCTCGGGCCCCTCTGAGCAAGGGGGCAACTCTGCTGTGGGAGATGCAGAAAACAGGTCTTGCTTTCTGTTCGAGGCAATCACTGCTCCACCTTTCCTCCATAAGCGTTCCATGAGGGGCAGAGAAGAGTCCAGCATTTGTGATGGTCACCCCTCCTTAGTGTGTGGTGACCCCCGCACCTTCTGGAAACAGGGAAGGCAAGTAATTTCAGGTGCTGGTTGTCCTAGGAACTTTGGTTCTTCCTTGACCCCAGGCTGCCAAAGGTAGAAGATTTAAAAACCTGAACTAATATCCCCCTCCACCAAAATGAAATTGGCTTCCTTTTCCCAGTTTGTCCAGGCACAATGCCCAGCAAATTTGAGGAAATCACAGGAGTTGTGGTCCAAGAGATGAATTCTAGAGGAGATATGATTGCTGTCAGAAGCCTCATTGATGCTGACAGATTTCACTGCTTCTGTCTGGTGAGGGAGAAGAGAAATTTCTTGGGATGCCGGTACTACACAACAGACCTCACCCTGGAGGACATACTGGAGAGAGAGGAGGGTGAAGGGCCGTTTGATAAGCCGGATTCTGGGCTCCAAGGTCAGTATGAGCTGGGTGAGATGGCCAGCCAGCAGATTTTACCCACTCCTACTCCAGCCCACTCTCAACTTCCCATTGCCATCAACAAAATCAACCAGTTAACAAATAAACTGCGGAATTTGTATGTACACATTCACACACATCAATTTAAGAAATGTACAGAAGTGCTGCATGGGGAGAAGGGAATAGGGGAAGTGGAAATTAATGTTTTTTTAATTTATTTGTGAGGAAGATTGTCACCGAGCTAAAATCTATGCCAATCTTCCTCTATTTTATGTGGGATGCTGCCACAGCGTGGCGTGAAGAGCGGTGCTATGTCCGCGCCTGGGATCTGAACCCGTGAACCCCTGGCTGCTGAAGTGAAGTGTGTGAACTTAACCATGCCACCACTGCGCCGGCCCCAGGAAATTAATTTTTATTGGGAACTCATCCTAAATAGTCTTCTTTTTTCATTTTTTCCCTTTGTAAATAATTCGTTTTTAAATTAGCTGAGGTCTTCTCACTATTTATACGTTTATACATGTTTATATGTTTATCATTTCAATGAATAAATAAATGGAGGCAGTTTGCTTAGTGGTTAAGAAAGGACGCAAGCTTTAGAGCCAGGGTTTCTAAGCTTGACTCTGCCATTTACCAGCTGGGTGACCTCTGGACAAGTTGCTTTATCTCCCTAAGTTTGTTCCCTTGTCTGTCAACTAGAGAAGACTGTTGCAAGAATCCAGTGAGATCAGTTACGTAAATCATTTATCACAGTGCCTGCACAGAAGGACACTCAATCAAAGTTCACTGCAATCACTCTGCTGGCGGTGGTTATTATTATTATCCCATCAAGTTCCCTGGAGATCATGACTGAAAGGGAAGTTGCTGGCAAGCAGAACTCCCTAAAGGCTTGAAGGGATTTGCAGGTGTCTATTCCATCCCCCTGCCTCCAAGCTCAGCTATTTCTGTGGTTTCTTGGGTTTCAGAAAGCCCAGGGTAAGTGTTGTTCAACACTCACTTGGAGACTTATTTCAGTGTCTCGTGCCTCATGCTGAGGAGTTTTACAGCTCAGACGTCTCTGCTATAGCCCATTTGGGTCTCACCAAGAGATAGAAAAGAATTCTAACAATACCACTGTAGTGTTTTAGAGCACCTGCTAAGTGCCAGGTGCTGTTGTTATGTGACCCAGAGAAGTGCCCAGATTACTGGGAGGTGGCAGGCCTTTCCACAAGTGGAGTTTAATTAAGCAAGGGGCTTTAGGAAAATTTCAGATTAGCATTTTTTCAAACACTCTGAGTCAATTCTCTAAAAAGCAAATTGCCGAGAGCCAATTTGCTAAAAGCTAGTTCTCAAAAAATCAGTTTGTTAACCAACCAGTTCACTGAAAACAGAAAAAACCTTTAAACCAGGATTAGGATGTTTTGCCATGATCATATTACTCCCCAGGGTCAGGGGCAAAGTGTAAGTATGGAAAAAAATTTGACTAAGTGAGCTAACCTCCTTTAAGGGAAAGTCTATCTGTTTGCATAAAAAATTCAGAGGCAGAGGTGAAACCAAACTTTAAAATAAATCCTTAAGGGGCCGGCCCCATGGCCGAGTGGTTGGGTTCGTGTGCTCTGCTTCTGTGGCCCAGGGTTTCACCAGTTTGGATCCTGGGTGTGGACATGGCACCGCTCATTGGGCCACACTGAGGCAGCGCCCCACATGGCACAACCGGAAGGACCTACAACTAGAATATACAACTTTGGGGAGAAAGAAAAGGAAAAAAAAAGGGAGACTGGCAACAGATACTAGCTCAGGTGCCAATCTTTAAAAAAAAAATCCTTAAGAATGAAGTGAATTGGTAATTTGAATTGGTTTTCAGCAAGTTGGCCTGCTCCCTTTTCAAATGAATTATTTAGTTTTTAACTATATGGCGCTGATGGTGTGGTTAAAGTGTGAATAGGGTTTTTTTTTTTGTTTTTTTTAATTAACTAAAGTCCATATTTCTTTGAAATTATGTCAGTTTTTACCTAATGTCCTTTTTCTGTTCCAGGATCCCCTCCAGGATACCACATTACCTTTAGTTGTCATTTCTCCTTAGGCTCCTCTTGGCTGTGACAATTTCTCAGACTTCCCTTGTTTTTGATGACCTTGACAGTTTAAGGAGTATTGCTCAGGCTTATTGTAGGGTGCCTCTCTACTGGAATCTGATGCTCTCATGGTTAGACTGAGGTAATGGTTTTGGGGAGGAGGGCCACAGTGGTGAAGTACCATTCTCATCACATCATATCAAGGGCACATACTGTCGACATGACTTATCACTGTTGATGTTGACCTTGGTCACCTGGCGGAGGTAGTGTTTGTCAGGTTTCTCCTCTTAAAGTTACTCCCCACCCCCACCTTTCCATACTGTACATGTTGTGTGCATAAGGTTTGATTTTTGTTCTCTCTCTGATAAAGTATATGCAAAGTTTACATTGCTCAAGAAACAAACAGGACCTGAGACATTAGTGTCACATACAGGACTGATTTCAGGCACTATTTCCAGTTCTCTCATGTTCCACCAGTTCTGAAATGCATTTTTCTTTGGAAATCCAGCGCTGCCCCCAAAACCTAGCAGTAGGAGCTGTCCCTCCTCTGTAGTAAGTTCACACCTGAGAGGTCTGAGACTTTTAAGGCACTCAGCTTGGCAGCATTTCTACACATCCTCCATTAACTCCAGGGCAGCAGCTGACTCAGAATCAAGGCCTTTATGAAAGCACCTTATCAGCCCGGGCAGAGTCCACATGGACAGGCAACTTCCCAGGGTTGCCTCACTTTACACCTGCATGGTTCTTACAAACACCACAGACTGAACTCTGCTTAATTTTTATTTCCCAATTGGCAAGCGCTCCTAATTCTTTAGCTTTACTTTTCCTTGTCTCATTTCAGCCTCTCAAATCGTTAAGTAGGGCTAGCTCACATTTACTGAGCATTTAGTATATGTGCCAGGCACTTTGTTAGGAGCCTAACTGCATTATTTAATTTCCTCAAGCACAGGAAGTAGGTACTATTAATATTCTCCTTCTGTAGATGAGGAAACAGACTCAGAGGGCAAGTGACTTATCCAAGGTCATTTGGTGAGAAGGTGGCAGAGTGGGCTCAACCCTGGGATTGTGTGACCTCATGATGACTGCCAGTGAGAAGAGCGTTTCCTGGAGAGCCACAGCTGCAGGACTTCCTCAGAAGGGAAGAGGATCGTGGAGGGGAGCCCAGGATAGGGCTGCTCCAGGGAGAATTTTCTGGAGAAAGATCTTTTGGGTCATCCTCAGTATGACCTTTACCCTTCTCTTTCCAGGTCAAAAGGCTGAGTTCCGAGCTGTGGACATGGTAGACTCAAAGGGAGAGCTGAGTGTGAAATTGCCCAAAGAAATGACAATTTCAGGGAGCTTCCAGGGGTCTCAGGAGCAGGAAATCAAGATATTGCACACTCGGATACCCCAGAAATATCTGGATTCCCTTGAGAACAGGTGAAGCTGTAGGTGGCAGCAGTGGGGAGGAAGAGAGGGAGAAGCCCATTTTGGGCACCAAGGGCATCTGAGGTGTGGGCACCCCAGCTGGCACAGCTTCTCACTCCCTACTCCCAGCATTCCCCCAACCCACTCCTTTATTCCCGCATGCCTTCCTCTTCTCCTTCAGGAATCCTTCTCATTCTTCCAGGATCAGCTTCCAGGAACCTTCTGACACCCCCAATCCACTCACATCTCTGCTACCCTCCAGAGTGACTGATTACTCTGGCTTGGACCAAAACCTGCTGGTTTCAAGAGGTCACTCTCCTCTGTTCTTGTCTACTGAGTTGCCCAAATCTGTATTTTGTGCTTGTTTCACTCTGCCTTGTGGTAAGCCAGTGATTTCCACGTCCCTCTCCCTCACTGGACTAGGAACAACTTGTGAACAGGGACTGACTTCATTAACCTCTCTGTGTCTATCCCCAGCACACAGTACATGCTCAGTAAGAGAGCTGAAGTGAAGCACAATGAAATCAAAACACCCTTGTAGAACACTTTCTGCACAGAAAGTGCCACCACCCCACTCCACCAGGGTGGCACCAATCAAGTGATAGCTGAGGGTATGGTGCTTCCGAGGGACTTAGAGGAACATCACCAACCTTCCCCCTCAGTAATCATTTTGTTGTTGGTGTTGGTGTTTCTTCCCTAGCTGGAACTGTCAGTGAGTATGGAAGAGCTCAGGGAAAGGGGCCCCACCATTCTCCTGGGCTAGCCTTCCCTGACTGGAGTGGATGCCTTTTGTTTTTCCTTTTTAATTAAAAGCTGAAAGGCTTACAGTGAAATTTTACCGGTCCCTGGAAGTACCCTTCCCCACCACAGTATTGCTGGAGAAAGGCCTTTGGAGTTTTTCAAAGGGAGCTCATTTTTTTCTAGAAGGCCTGTTGTTTCTAGGGTGAGGCTATGTGGTGTGTGTATATAGAGTCGGTGGGGAGGGTACTGGATGGGTACAGGAAGCTCAGCAGAGGCAAGGATGTAGGTCTTCCTTGAGGGACTTTTAATTGGAAATAGCAGAGGCTCCATCAGGCTGTTTTTAGTCACAAAATGTATTTCCTTATGGAATCAGAGATGCCTTCTGGAACCCAAGGGCGGACAGTGCAGCCAGGTCCCAGGTACCAGTGTGAGGAGCTGGAGCCCCTTCTCAGAGAACAGGGTACTGTGGGCTGGGCAGATGCCTATCTCAATGCCATGAGAAGGGCCCATGCTTTGGGCTCACACAGACCAGGGTTTGAATCTCAGCTCTACACTTATTAGCTGTGTGACCTTGGACCATTTACAACCTATCTCTAAGCCCCAATTTCCTCATATGAAAAATGGATGCAATTCTGCCTATGTCATAGGGTTGGTTGTGATGAGGGTTAAAATGAAATGATGTGTGAAGTATCTCACAATGCTGGCACGCTGTAATCTTCCAAAAATGCTAAGGAGTTCTCCTCCCACTTTGCACTCCCCTGCCCCCAGTGGGTAAAGTGAATTGTGATGGGGGTGCTATGTTCCTTGGTTTTCCAGCCTCAGAAGCACTTAATCTCAAATAGGAACTAGCTGATGGAGAGAAATGTGACCAGGGAGGTGGGGCCCCCGAGATCTTGAACTCTCATCCCCACTTCACTCCCTCCAGGAAGCTGAAGAGAAAACTACCCACTATGTTCAAATCAATCCAGAAAAGGAGAGAAAACCTGTATCTGGTGACAGAAACTGTGGAGACAACAGAGGAGAACACCCTGGAAAGTGAACAGCGATATACATTTTGGAGCCAGCTGCATCTTGGCAGTCTCAAATTCAAACGCAAGGTTAGGATACTGGGAGGCAGGGGCTGCAGGAGAGCCAGCCTTGACCCACCCACTGCAGGTCAGGGGCATGCCTGCCTAGACACCAGGCTGTTCAGCTCTTCCTCCAGAACTCCCTGAGCAGTCCTGCCTGCTCCTTGGTCTTCTTATGACTTCTCTTCTTGCCCCGAGAAAGTGTGTGTGGCATTGCTAAGTCCCTCCCGTGTCACTCCAGTGACACCCTGTTTTCATTTGCTTCATAGCACTTCCCATGGTTCCTAATTACACAAGGGTTTTTTGCTCATTCATTGTCTGCCTCCCTTTCTAGGAGGCGGGAGGGCAGGAGCCACAGTGCCTGGAACAAAACAGATCCTCAGTAAACATTTGTTGAACGAACAGTGGAAACAACATGAGTTTTGGGGTCAGATGCAGGTTCAAATTCCAGCTCTGTTACTGTTTTCAGCTGTGAAACTGGCTCACCTACTGACCCTCTCTGAGCCTCAGTTCTCTCATCTGTAAAATGAGGATAAAGATGTCTACCTCCCAGGATTGTTTGGGAGATCAGGCAAGATAACTACATAAAGCACCTAGGGATCAATCAATATGAGCTCCTTTTTCCTAGCAAAAAAGGGCAGTGACCATCCCCCCCAAGCGGGTCCTGGGCTATCGAATAAAGCAGCTCGTCTTCCCCAACATGGAAAGGATGGGTAAGCAAGGCCTGGTGGGGGCTGGCGGTGGGGTGGGGGGTGACTGGACTGGAGGGGTCCTGGTGAGCTAGAAGGTGGGAGGAAGTTCCAAGGAAGAGGGAGGGATCAGGACTGGGAGGAAGGACTGAGGCTCCTTGCTGGGACACTGCAGACCCAGGATTTGCCCCACCATGACGCTTATCCTTTTCTAGAGGTATTAACTACCATCTGTCTCCCAGTATTTTCTTTTTTGGTGGGGGGCGAGGTGTGAGAATTGGGGAAAGGCTAGAAAGAAGAACTGACAGAGAAAGAACTGGTCTTTCTGATAACTGGTCTTCTTTTTGTGTGTGCTGGTTTAGATATTTGTTTCGTGGGCAAAACAGAGTCCTTTCCAGAAGGTGAGTGAGCTTCTGGGCCTCCTGTTCATCATTCCAGAATGGGCAAGGATAGTATTTTTAAAAAGAGTGTAACAAATGGCCTGGAATTATAAAGTTATTCGGGCCGAGAATGTACTAGGATGCACCCAGGGGTGGGAACCGTGGTAAGGGCAGGAGAAAAATCTGCCTGTTGGAGAAGCAGGTTGGATTGCATGTTGGCCTAGGTTTCCAGGCTCTCACAACTTTCACTTGCTTCATGGGAGTCAGTATGCTGGATCCCGAAGTCACAGGCTCTACTGAAGGCTTATTGGCCTAGGAAGCACAATTGAATTACCTGGCCAGTTCTTACATGATAGCTCTGGCTGTCAAAGGAGCGCTGGTCTGGGAGTCAAATGGTCTCAGGGTCTAGTCCTGACTGCCACTCACTAGCCCTATAGCCTCCTGAGCCATGGTTATCCTGACTTTAAAATGAATGGGTTAGACTAGAGGATCCCTGCGATTCTGAATGTGGCCTCCTCTGGAATTGCAGTTTTTCCTTGGATCTCAGAAGGACTGCACTGCCTAAGAGGGCTTGGGAAGAGGCAGAGAGAGGTCTAGATGTGCTAGAAAATTCAAGAAACTCCTGGAAGTTGTAGAAGTTGCAGGTTCAGTCCTAGCAAGGTCTTGCTAGCTCAAAAGAGTGAACCTCTGTCATTCTAAAGTGCCATAACAGAGGAGACAGGAGGTAGATTCCAGTCCCTGCTTTGACCCAATTTGCTGAGTGACTGAGGGCATGTTGCACCCTCTCTGGGTCTCTGTTTCTTCTTCAACCATCTAGGCATAATCCTGTGGCTGCCCATCTCCCAGGATGTGGGAAGGGGTCATTTACACACAGTGATGAGGATGGAGGCTCCCTGGCATGGGCAGTGAGTGCTTGGAGTCCCAGAATGAAAACCTCCACCACTGGGAAGAGAATGTCTATAGGGGAATGGAGGTGACCTGAAGACTCTGAGATTATTCTTCCTCTCTTTGCAGAGAAAGATGGAGGTTCACGGTGCTTAGGTAAGGACGGGAGCCAGCTGTGTTCAGGATGGCTGTACTTACTCACTCTTGAGCCGTCTGGCCTCAGGACTGCAGCTCAGATGGGGTAGCTGAGTATGTGTGTGTTGGGAGGGAGGGTTGGGGGAGAATGGTGGGGCAGTGCCCAAAGCAGATTTCAAGTTTAGTCTGGAGGTTGCATCCGTCTCCTCTGAACACAGTGGTTCTCACTGGTTGTACATAGACATCACCTGGAGGAACTTTAAAGCTGGTAATGCCTGAGTCCCACCTCCAGAAATTCTGATTTAATTATCTGAGGGTGTGGCCTGGGCTTTAGGATTTTTAATCGCTCCCCAGGTGATTCTCATGCACAGTCAAGGTTGAGAACCACTGTTCTAACTTCCTCTAAATTCTCACTACTCCTAGTGTGGCCCAAAGAACTTGGGGTTGGTATAAGACTGGGGGTGAGCTGGGGAGCTGGAAGTGGCACCAGCGGGAGGCAATGATGGTGAGTGCCTGGGAAGGATGCTTCATTTTAACACGAAAAGGTCAGAAGAAGGGAAGATACAGAGAGGTGGTCTCCAAAAGAAAGAATAGATGAAGAATGGGGTCTACAGGAGTCTTGGAAATGGAGCTTGTTGGGCTGGGTAGGTTGGGTTCTTAATTACTGCCTCTACAGGGAGGTCCTTGAGTTTGGAGGATTTCAGCAACATGAAAGAGAAGGTGCAGGACATGGTGAGAGACCTCCAGGATCTGACTGAGCAGGAGCGAAAAGATGTGCTAAGCTGCCTCACTAGGTGCCTCAACGAAGATGCGCAGCTGCAGGATCTAGAGCAAAGAGTAAGAGGCCCAAAAAAGAAGTGAGGCAGAGAGAGGGAGAAGCCGGTGGGGAGGGCAGTTGACACACCGCAGACAATCTGCTATAGTGGGACTGGTGCTCATCTCCCCCATCTCCTGGCCCTAGGTATCTGAGGTCCTGATCTCTGGTGAGCTACAGATGGAGGACCCAGCAGGTCCTCTCATAAGCAGCCTTTTTAATGATGCTGGGATCTTGGTAGAGGCGCGCTCAGAAGCCATTCTGGATGTCCTGGATGCCTTGAGGGGTGAGGAGGGGTCTGGATGTATGCTGGTTTGGAGGAAATGCTGAGCAGAGGAGTGTGTGGGGAATCAAATCTTGGGAGGAAGGGGGAATACTTTGCCCTTTACATTTTGTGGGGGATAGGCCTTCACGTTTCACAAACTAGCCATCTTCCCCAGGCCCCAGGGATTGAGGGATTGCCTCCTCTTCACCCTTGGCACAGTCTATGACCTCCTGCAGGTTAAGAGGGAAGCAGGAACCATAGCAGGAGCCCATTTGGAATAAATCTAGCACTCCCAAGGGGCTCTCTGGAACCTCCTTCTGATGCTTGTCCGGAATCTGATCAGACACTGAAGCCCTGTCCCACCATGTGCCTCTCCTCTCTGCCAACCACCCTCTTTTCTGCCTCCAGAGCTGTCTGAGGAACAACAGCTTGTGGCTGAGGCCCTAGAGAAGGGGACCCTGCCCCTGTTGAAGGACCAGGTAACACAGCCTGGGCTGACGGAGAGGGGGCGGAAAACTGTTAGTCCCAGGAGGGCAGTTGGAGCATTCTGAGTGCCAGCACTGACTGACTAGCAGCGCTGTCACTATGTTGAGAGAGTATGAGGCTCTCCAGGCTCCGCAGGAGAGAGTGCCATGATGGATTACTACGTCTGCCCTGGGCTCAGGATTAAGGAGTGTGGCCAAGTATTTGCCATTTCTGGTATATTTCCTTGTTCCCAGCTTTTACAGTCTGCTGTGTTCCTTCCAGGTTGAGTCTATCCTGGAGCAGAACCCGGGTGAGCAGCCCCATGAGGTGGGCTGTGACCCTGAGGCACGAAATCTTTGTGCTCTCTATGTTGCTGTCTCCATCCTGCTGCAGCTAAGTGAGAAGCCTACCTCTGTGTCTTCCTAACTGTATATTGGCTCTTGAACCATTCTCCCCACAAGCCTCTGACTGCTCCTCTTCGCAGTCCATCCTCACCCTGCCCACCTCCCCAGTCACCAGAATGATATCTTTAAAACAAGCAGCTGGCTATTCTTTGATACATCCCATTCCCTACATGATAATGTCCCAAATCAGCTTGGATTGTATGCATGGACTTCTGATTAAAAGTGGCAGATTGATCATATTAATTTCCTCTCCTTCTTGAAACCTCAATAATGACAGTAAAGTAATAGAAAAGATATAAACCCCCAAGGATAAAGAGAATGAGGCGGCAGATAAGAGATTTCAACACATCTTTGGAACCAGAAAGTAATTAAAGGCGTGCAAGCCGGGAGCTGTGGGACTGAGGGGTGCAGAAGAGTACAGGACGACAATGCTGTTTTTTCATCATAAAGTTCTATTTTAGTTCTAAAATTTAGTTCTAAAAGTTCCTTTTAGTTCTATTTAATATTTTTTAACACAATGTAATTAAAAGTAAAAGAAATATATGCTTGTAAAGCATTTCAAATATTTCTCAAGTCGAAGGTAAACATACTCTGGGATCTCCCCTCCTCCCTCTAATATAACCACTGTTAACATTTTGGGGAATGTTAACATTTTCCCTATGCAGCAGCTTTTAAAATGTAATTTAAACATGAAGTCATAATGATATTTGTTTTGTATCATTTGATCTAGTTTTTTCTTTTGAATTTGTAAAAATATTATATGCAACAGGAATTCTCATAAGTGCTGTTGGGAGTGCATACTGGTCAACCACTTTGGAAAACTGTTTGACAGTATCTACTACAGCTAAACATATGCCTATGACCCAGCAACTCCACTTCCTGGGCATACACCCGAGAGAAATGAGCGCATGTATTCACCGAAAGACATGCATATACAAAAACGTTAACATAAGAGCCCCAAGTTGAAACTATTCAAATGTCCTATGACATTAGGATGGATACTTATATTGTGGTATATTTATGCAATAAAAGAGAACAAATTACTGCCACACATAACACGGATGACCCTCACAGACGTAATGCTGAGCAAATGAAGCCAGACACAAAAGAATGTATTTAAGTTTGGATCCTGTGAGAAGCTGGTGCCAAAGTGGAATCAGATGTGCAAAAGACTTATTAGGGGAAAAGCCTGTGAAGAATAAAGGGCGAAGAAGCAGGAATAGGCATGGCAAGACTTCAAATCACAATGCAGGTCTAAACCCTGTATAAGTAGAGAAGGAGGGAAGGATGGAATAGGGAGAGTTACAGCCAAGCCAGCCTGAGCTTAAGCAGTCTACTAGACGGGTCCCCCCACCATGCTCAGCCTTTGGCTGGGAGCAGCCCAGGAAAGCCTGACCTCAGGAAGTAGATCTACAGGGCGGCAGCTAGAGGTTCTCAGTCGACTATGCTTCCTGCAGCAGGTTCTCCTAAAGAAAAATCTCAGTGCTACCCTCCACAGCCACCATAATACCGTATGATTCCATTTATATGAGGCTCAAGAACAGGCAAAGCTTCGCAATAGTGGTAGACAAAAATAGTGGTTATCTTATTGGGACAGTATTGACTGGGAAGGGGCATGCAGGAACATTTTGGGTCACTAGAAATATTTTATATCTTGATCTGGATAGTAGTTACATGGATGTTTACATGTGTAAAAATTTACTAAGATCTGGGCACTTTTTAAGTTTTTTTACCTCAAGAAAAATTTTAATTAAAAAACATAATATATACACATGAAAACATATTTGAACAATACAGAAGAATATTTAAAAAATTAAGTGGAAGTTTCCTCTCAAACCCCTTCATCCTAGAACCTAGTCCCACTTTCTTGAGACAGCCATATTAACACTGTTTTAGTCTGTTTGTTACTATTACAACTAAAAATGATATTCTTATATTTGTTCTTAATTTATTAATTTTAGATAGTATTTATTGATTCCCCAGTATTAAGGATAAATATTGAGAAAAACACATTGAACAACAAGTTCAAAGCAGTCTTATTAAAAAACATGTAGGGTACTATGAGAGCATTTAATAAAAGGTAACATGGTGGTCCCCTCTTACCTCTGACATTGTCTCCTTCTTTCTTCCTTAAACTCTGATTCCAGCCATGCCAAACTATTGGTCTTCTATTGGAACATGCCATGTACTTTTACAATGACATGCTTTTTAAAAATACAGGCTGCACTCTCCCTCTGCCTGGATTCCCATCCCTCACCTTATCCATCCTTTAAGCTATGGCTCAAATATCCCTTTGTATCCTCAGGAGCCATCCCAGTTTCCCAAAGAATTTGGTGACTTCTTCCTCTCTATGGCCCAGAGCATGTTGAATACATTTCTATTATGGCATTCATATTGTACTGAAATTATTAATACATGTGTCTGTTCCACTAATGTGGAAGTTTCTGGAGAATAGGGTTTAAATCTTACTTTTCTTTGCAAGGGCTCAGTAAACAATAGTTTGCTTCAAAAGTGCCTTTGAGTTGGGGGAAGTTTGGGAGACACAGCCAGAATTTCATGAGGTTAGCTCAATCTCAGAACCAGTAGTCACTACGAATTTTTTTTTCTGTCCTCTCAAGAGTCTCAGCAAGGGACTACTTGTCTAAGGAAGATTAAACTGACCCAGAAACTTGAGGTGTATATTCGATCTGCTGATTTCCTTCTCATCTCACGTTTCTGATTCCAGAGTGAAGTTCAATACATTAATTGCATACATCTGTAACGAATTTCCTGTTCTAGCAGCTGAAACTTGTGATAGAGATGACTTTGAAATGGGGAAAGATGGGATAGTCATTATTTGAGCTTGGAGGGATTTGGGAGATTCCACTGACTCTTATTCTTCAGAACTCTTAGCTCAAGCAATACCCACTTCTGATAGTTTCTCTCTCTCTCCAGTCGGAGTTAGAGACCCCTAAACACACTGTGCTTACCCCTGTTGGGAAGGAAACTGTTTTGGAGAAATGCCACCTTGGGATAGATAAGATCCTAAGGAGGTGGATGTCAACAAGTCTTGGAGAAGGGGGAAACTACTTTGCAGGAAACAAATTGAGGAATTCATTGATTTTGCGCTTAAGATGGAGGAGAAGGACATTGGAAGGAGAGAGAATAGAGGAAGAGAGAAGTACAGCGAGATGGAGAGAGGCTGAGACTAGGTGAGGTAGTAAAAACTTCTAGATATGGGATAGGTGAAGAACATTCAAGAATGGCGATGCCAAACATGTTTCTGGTAATATTAAGCTAGGTTATTTGCTCCAGCTCTCCCATGGAAAACAATTTAAAATGCTGGATAAGATAATTTTAAAACATCTATAATACACATTTAATTGCTGGCAAGAAAAGAAACCGAAGCCAAAATATAAGTGAAAAGGAGACCCAGGGAGATAAGTATCAGAACACTAATGTAATTCTGCCCCAGGTGAAGGGGATTGAGATTTGCACATCCAGGCAAGCTGGAGCTTCAGTTTGGCCAGCCCTGTGGATTGACGAGTCAAGAAGTTAAGGCCAAGGACCCACCCGAGGTGGGGAGTCTAATAAAAGGAGATCTTTCCCATATTAACTGGGCTTCATCATTAAGATAGGAGTGAACTGGCAGTAAACTCAGCTCTTGACTCACCTGCAGGGAACTGTAGGGAGGACTCTTGGTATTGAGTGAAGAGGGTAAAAAAAAGGAAAGGAAAAAAGTTCTGAAATATTATGGCCATAGGCTAGTCTTTTCACAGATCTTAGCCTGGATTTGCATCACCTGGGTGTTTCAGAGAAGCTCAAATAGCGAATTTAGTTTGAGGTTCCAGGATTGGTTGTGTCCCCAGATGCCTGTCAGAATCAAACACAAATCTTTTCTGAAGGAAGTCATCTTCATTTCCACAAATAATTTTTTTTTTTTGAGGAAGATCGGCCCTGAGCTAATGTCTGTGCCCATCTTCCTCCACTTTATATATGGGATGCCTGCCACAGCATGGCTTAATAAGCAGTGCATAGGTCTGCGCCTGGGATCCGAACCAGCGAACCCTGGGCTGCCGAAGTGGAGTGCATGAACTTAACCACTACACCACTGGGCTGGCCCCCACAAATAATTTTTTAAGGACAATGAGTGGTTCTCAATAAAAAATAACAAAGCATACAAGGAAACAATACCATGAGCAAGAATAAGCAGAAACAACAAACAACAGAAAGAGGCATATAAAAATATCAAATATTGGAATTATTAGACTATATCATAAAAATATGCTCATATGCTTAAAGAAATTTTAAAATGAGTTTGAAAATACCAATAACAAGAAGAAAACTATAAAAAGTGACCTATCATATTTGAAAAAGAACCAAATAGAACTTTTAGAAGGTAAATTTAGAAGAAAATTTTGATCCTACCTAAAAAACTTAATGGATCAGTTTAAGAGTATATTGGATATAGCTGAGGAGAGAGTTAGTAAAATAGAAATCAGAAAAAAAATATTCAAAATATAGTACAGAGACAAAAATATAGTACAGGAACAAACTATAATAGAAAAAAATGTAAATAATAAAACTAAATGATAAAAATTAAAAAACTAAAAAAACTACTATCAACAAAAAGAATACAAGAAATGAGAGAAAGAAAAACCTAGAACAGATGAAACAAATAAAAAACCCAAAAGAAAATGGTAGAATGAAATCCAAATGTATTAGAAATTACATTACATGTACATGGGCTAAATGAACCAGTAAAAATGCAAATATTGTAAGAATGGATAAATTTATCTTCTTGCTGTTTATGAGAAATATCTAAAACATAAGGATATAAAATATTGAAACCACAAAGAAATATACTGGATATGTAAATACTAATGAAAAGGAAACTTGCATAGATATATTAATATTAGGCAAAATAAATTTAAGGCATAAATCATTATTAGTGGCAAAGAAAGTTACTTCACAATGATAAAAGTTTCAATTTACCAGGAAGATATAACAATTTTGAACTGCTATGCATATAATATAGCCTCAAAATACAGAAAGCAAACATCGACAGGTTGGAAGACAAAACAGTCAGATACACAACCATAGTGAAGATTTCAACACATTTCTATTAATAATTGATAAAATAAGCAGCTAAAAAGGTCAGTAAGAATATACACGATTTGAACAACATGATTAGCAAACTTGACACAATGGACATCTTTAGAAAGCTGTACCCAGCAACAACAGTAGAATGTACACCTGG